CGTAGCTATGTGTATGAAGCCATTTAAATGGTAATGCTGCATATGGGTCAATACGGCAGTGCGAATGAGGCCTACAGCTCAAGGAAACTGACTCAGTAGCATTTAAAGAACTTTACTTTACTTGTAGCAGTCAGGCTGCTACAAACAAACAATCACTTGCACCCACTACACTATCCTTCTAGTACATGTAATGGTTTCTAAGAGAGGAAACACTAAAATAGTACTTAGCTTAGAGGCTGCATATTCCTTAAATTCCGTAAAGAACAGGACTTCTTGGCAATTAAGCGTTCTCAGGAAAATGGCTTCTTGTTGCAGTCTCTGGTGACTAAGTCATTTGTTTTAGAGTTCCATAATGAGTCCTCTCTTGGTCAGAGTGATGTTCTCTCTTGGTCAAAGTTCCATTCTCAAGTCCTCTTCTGAAGTCCTCCCTCACCTTTGGGCTGCTGGCTTTTATTCAGAGAAAATGGCATCCCACTTGTGGGTGTTGCCCCTCAATACTTGTATGAGAGCTAAATATGATGTATTTCACTTTCCCACTTCTAGGTGGCAGCGTTGTATCAGGAATTGCCCTCAGCAGTCAATGGTGAATAAGCCTTGACAAGTGGAGGCGTGATTGTTTACACAAGGTTTCCCCATAACACCATCCCATTGTGATACGAATAACGGGGAAACAATACAGTCAGAGACCAGAGCAACCCCAGGTGGCGCTGGAACCAGGTCCTGCAGTTCCTGTGCTCACCAGCAGGTGTTTCAAGGCAGCCAGGAGCTGTCAGGTACCAGACCACCACTGGGTGGTGCTTGAACCTGCATTTCCGGGGGTCACCTGCGGATGTCTCCCAGCTGTCGGCAATTAGTCTCCACCTGGTGTTGGCCTGGGAGGGTATTTAGCCCCTTCTCACAGTGAGGCTGGTGCCTCAGTATTGTCGCCATAACCTGTATCCTGGTGCCTGTATTATCCTGTTGCCTCCTTGGACCCTGACTCCTTTCCCTGAGGTCTCTTGAACTGTGTAGAGAGCTTCATAGAATGGGTTTCCATGGCCGAGCAGCTGCATCCAAGCCTTACATCACCAAGTGGAATGCAAAGCGTCGGATGCAGTGGTGTAAAGCACGCCGCCACTGGACTCTAGAAAAGTGGAGACGTGTTCTCTGGAGTGGCAAATCATGCTCCTCTGTCTGGTAATCCGATGGACGTGTCTGGGTTTGGCAGTTGCCAGGAGAGCGGTACTTGCATTGACTGCATTGTGCCAAGTGTAAAGTTTGGTGGAGGGGGGATTATGGTGTTGTGTTGTTTTTCAGGGGTTGGGCTTGGCCCCTTCATTCAAGTGGAGGGAACTCTTAAGGCATCAGCATGCCACGACATTTTGGACTATTTCATGCTCCCAACTTTGTGGGAACAGAAGGACAGAAATACAGCCAAGAAGGAATTCATAAAATTATTTATACAATTGTTTAGCTAGCTACAACTTTTAGTCAGCACAGTCTGTTTAAAGAGTCCTGCATTGAATGCATTGAGAAACACTAATTACACTGAAAACACATTGAACATAAAATATTTAGAAAACATAACTTGACACTGACCTTTCTGCAGAGTATTGCAACACCTGTTGTGACTGCTAATGGCTTGAAAGCCTTTGTAGGTGGCAACAATTGTGTGTAATAACAATAGCTAGGACTCTGTCACCCAACATGCTTTTTAGGGCTCCTCATCCACACCCAGTCTTGCTCTGCTCCCATTCTGCTTCTTTTGTGATGAGTTTGTAATGCAGAGTTCAGTAGTAACACACATGGAGGGGAATCTATCAAAACCAGCACAGACGGAATTTCAAAACTTAATTGAACAAACTGAAGACAGAAACTGATTGGTTGCTATGGGCAACTTCTCCAGATTCTGTCGGCTTCAGCTTTCATAAATCCTCCCTATAGTGCAGAAGTCAGTATTAAGTAACACAGAGTGCAGAGGTCAGTAGTAATGCAGAGGTCAGTAGTATGCAGAGTGCAGAGGTCAGTAGTAAGTAACGCAGAGTGCAGAGATCAGTAGTAAGCAACACAGAGTGAAGATGTCAGTAGTATAATGCAGAGGTCACTAGTAGTTAACGCAGAGTGCAGAGGTCAGTAGTGTAATGCAGAGGTCAGTAGTGTACCACAGAGAGCAGAGGTCAGTGGTGTAATGCAGAGTGCAGTGGTCAGTAGTGTAATGCAGAGTGCAGTGGTCAGTAGTGTAATGCAGAGTGGCTCACGTGACTGTGTCGGCTCCGCATATCTCCCAAACACTGCCAGACATACTAAGAATGGTGAGCATACTGACAACTGTTGAACAGTGATCGCTGAGTGTTTGTAGATAATTGAGGACATGGTATGGTTACTATATCCTCAATTAAGAATGAATGGGAAGTGATCTACATCACCTCCTGTTCATTCATAGTTGGGGTTATAGTATACACACTCTTTCCCTATGTTATGAATGAACAGGAACACTCAGTATAGAGGATTCCTGTTCATTTATAACAGGGGACACAGAAAAAGAGATTGAGGACACACATATAATATATAAAATCACAACACACATATACATATATATATATATATATATA